GAGTGTTTTCGATGCTGCAGAAGTTCGTGGTCAGGACTCGTCTGCAGCAACGGTACGTGGCATGGCGAATGCTTGCAATCACTTGGTGAATTCAGCCGGATTTCTCACCACATCAGTGGGTGCTGGGAGCTGGACATCGACTACCAACGAGCCTGGCGAACCCAAACAAAGACCCAACAATGGTTTCAAGGGTGGTGGATAATATACCGATTTCGAACCAGCTACACCTACAGCAGATGTGCTCAGAACCTTTCTTAAAGGCGGCGAACTCATCAACTCTACGACGTACTACATTGGCAAGGACCAGGCCGCAGCCGGGACCATTTCAGCAAGGTGATCTACTTATGTTCTGGAGGTCAGACAGTCTCAATAGGAACCTGCATGCAAGATGGCATGGACCTGCCCGATGCTTGGGGAAGGACGAGCATGAATGCTGGCTTATTCAGAATCGGGTGCTAATCTTGAATCCACCGAGTCTAGTTCGTAAAGCGATGGAGAGCGAGGTGAGCACGATGCAGTTTCCCGACATATTCTCAGACGGGGGACCAGCACGTGGAAGAGCAGGCCAGCGAGGTTTATCGACCTACGGGGCGAGCAATACAATCCAGCTCGTGATGAACAGCAGCGGGAGAAGCAGTTAGATCAGCAGCAAGATCAGCGATGTCCAGAACAGGAACCAACTGATCAACGACACCATCCAGAACAACAACCGCATGGAGATTTTCTACACCAAGCACCGCAAGGCGAAGTACAACAAGAAGCTTCAGCACCATCAGCAACAACAGCCCAAGGTGGTGTGATCAAGATCGAGCAGGCGGTGGACATGAACAAGAGCAGGACGCGAAGGTCTGAGGTGCTTCACGACAGCGATGTGATGCCGATGCGGCAGAGGCTGGAGGACGAGTACGAGCCCGAGCCAGCTGATCAAGACCAAGCTGAGGAAGACCTTCGAGTACGACTACGGCGAGCTCAGCCGGATTTGGACGCGATTATTGAAGCAGTGGCGGCGAGCAGTCAAATCAAGACTGTTCTGCGGCAGCTGGAGAGCGTCACCCATGGATCTCTACTTCCATACGCGGCACCTGCATACTAGATTGAGAGACGGAGGAGTTTATCTTGGACGCACGGGACCTGGTTCAAGATTTCCCGCGGCAAAATTGGATTGGCAATCCTCAAATCATCGATGACGTGATATATATTCAGACCATCACCGTGATTGAGGATATTACCTCGGATAAGGAATACGTTGCACCTCAACAAGGTGAAGGTGTGCAGCCCCAAGCTCACGCTGGGCACCAGGAGGGCAAAACTGATCAAGCGGATCAAACAACGGAGGAACTGGAGCGACCGAAGGATGAGCAACCGAAGGAGAAGAAGCGAGGTGGCAAGAGGCATGCTACCAAGGAGGATCTGCAACTCAAGCTGGCGAGAAATGACGACACGCTGGAGGACAACGGTACACTTCGGGTACCTGCTGTAGTTCAACGTCACATGGAGGAGCGCGAACGCCGAGGAGACAGCTGCAGTACCAGCACCAACGTCGCAGAAACCAGCACCACAAGATCATCAAGGCGAGGCAGGCAACACACGTCAGCCAACATCAAGGAACACCACAAGAGAACCCTGTGACCCTCAAAGGGTTCTTGCTGGATAAGGTGCCGATTAGCATCAATCGGGCCAAGTCGCAAACTAGGCCAATCAAGCACATGGCGGATGCTCCACTACTTGTCGAGGCGCTTGCGGCCGAGCGGGTGCGCACACAATCCAGGGCCAACAAGCACCATGAGGTCAACTTGAAATCCCTGGACGACGACAAACCTGAAATGGAAGAAGATGCAGACGTCAATGGAAACGGAATGGAACACACGGTGTATGCACGCTGCGGCAACACACACACACATTAGGAGCTGCCGTCGAGACGATAGACCCGAACAAGACCCTACGTTCCAAGGTGGCCTGGGCAATCAAGGACCCCACGACCTTCGAGCCGAATGCGAGGATCTGTGGCCGACGAGGCGAGGAGGAGTTCGACGACAAGTAAAGGAGAGACTCTCCTACAGTGTCAGCCCAATGGCACTGCTACTGACCAGCCTCGTATGGGGCCTCGACTTGGACCCTGTCATCGCAGACGTGGAGGAAACTTTTCTTCAACGCAAAACTATCACACGTGAGCTGTACGTCCGGATCCAGACAAACCTGGGAAATAATCCAATCCTGGGGCTGAAATAGGGGACCAACTGAAACTGAACATGAGCATCTACGGGGCCAACGGCGCAGCGAGGGCGTGGTATGTAGCCCGACGTGGTATTATCATCAAGCTCGGGTGGATGGCTGAAACTTTGAGCCAACGACCTTGCTCAAGCGCAACAAGCGGAGTACTATCATCGGGATCATGTGATTGCATGTGGATGGCTTCTTCATGGGTGTCAAGAACAACGACTCGGAGGGCGCCACGATCATGGAGGATTTACAAAAGCAGATCCCCTTTGGCGAGGTCAAGCACGCAAGGACGGAGAAAACACCGTTTTGTGCCAGGGCCTACAAGCAGAGCTCGATGCAAACGGTACGCATATCCCGTGAGCGCACCAAAGCACCAGACAGCAAGCTGACCCAAGCTGAACATCGAGGATTACGAATGGTGGTGGGCCAGTTGCAGCGGGCTGCGCGTGTGACCTGATTCGAAGAGGCTTTCGGAACATCTCGACTGGCATCTGCTCCGGGAGATCCGACGGTGAAGGGCCTGCAGGACGGCAGCGCAGCTGGTAGGAGGATTCAGAAGCGAACAGACCTGCTGATCAGGTTCACTGTTGGCCTCAGCCTGTGGGAGACCATGGTGAGCAGAGCAACGGACAATGCCTTCGACGACTTACCGAAGCATCGATCACAGCGTGGTCACTTCATCCGGCTGGGCGGCTGCAGGATCAACGACGACAGCAGCAATCAGTACAAGGCACACTGCACAGGATGGCAATTTTCCAAGGTTCAACGAGTGGTGCGATCAACTCTCTCGGCGGAAGCGTATTCATGTGCATATTCAATGGACATGCTGATCTGGACGCGGTCTACCCTGGCGGAGATCCCGTGCCCCGAGATGGACGCTACCGCTATTGTGCACGGCACCTGCCCGGTGAAGTATACTTCTGTGACGGGCTGCAAGATCCTATACAACACGATAACGAAGGAGAATATTTCCATGACGGATCGGAGTCTATCTCTGGACGCGGCCATCTTGCGACTACCGCTCAAGGAGGTGAGCATCAAGAGCGAGCAGATGCTGGCGGACTGCTTAAACAAGGTACTTCCAGGAGGTGACGCGAGGCTTGTGGTTACCTCAAACCTGTGGACTCTGGGGACTCGACTCAAGAACACCATCGATACGCGGACGGAGCTTGGTAGGACCTGAGAAGGTGGCAGCAACGAAAGAGGTCGACGAGCTCAACGCGACGATGGCGAAGTATGTTAAGCACACCGAGGATAATAACGATGAGATATGGACCTGGACGGTGGAGGTGTATAACTACAAATGCATCGATGAGGACGAAGTTCATAACGGATTTGAAAAGTCGAAGCATTCTACATGAACGATGCGATGTACAACTACCCGATGGAGAGGAGTGGCGCGCAGAGGACTATCCAGATACCTGATCCTGTCGCAGTTCTGTATCAAGTATGTGCAGTCGCAGTGTATGGAGCTTTGTCTCTCAATGGCTCCTACGGTGGTGACTGTGGTTCTATCGTGGCTGGGGTTCTTCTTACGATCTACATAATACAGCCGAAGCAGGACAGCGACCAGGACCTTGGAATGTCAGTGCCAATGGAGGTGGACAGTTCAAGCAGCGACAATCTGTTCCAAAGGAACATCCTCGTCCCCCAAGGTTGAGCAGACCAATAATCGGACGAAGCGCGAGGATCTGGATATCGTGACTTATGACGGTGAGTTTACGCAAGGGTTCCAATGTACCTGGGCGAGACCGTACTTCTGAAGCAGTGGGTGATCATCATGGGGACCGAGCGCATCAAAAGTGGGAAGCACGAGGGCACGCCGTTCAAGGATATCTACGACAAGGACAAACAATATGCGAACTGTCTGCGAATATGTCTGAAGTTGGACGCCTACGAGAGCCGCAGCTACAGTCGATGCCCGACGATCAAGACGTACGCTGCATATCATAGCATCAAGGCGACCACGCAGAAAATGCTGAGATTCGCTACCAAAGACGTGTTGGATGATAACAATGGTGGCGATATGATGGGATTACCTGTGAGAAGCGCTCAGGTCAAGATTTCAGTATCTTGATGTATGTTGCTCGGTGACCCGAACCTGTCAGCATAATATGCTTCAATCGTCTGCTGGTTTTACTTGCTGTTGAACTGCTACGCATTCTTGAACAACACTTGCTTCCTGTGTCAACTTCCGATTCGTATGCAGATGCGTACAACAAAGCAACTTGCCAGGATAATGATCTGCTGCTGGTGCTCTTTCTCTCTCTCTCTCTCTCTTGCTTTATGTTTCCTCTCGCCACTCGGCTCACAGCTGGGCGGGAGGGTGGACGCACCTACTCACGACTAAGCCTGAGTACGCTTCAAACGGATATCACTTTCTGATTTGCTACTCTTGCATCAAGACTTGTGGGTTGGATATTGTGACTACCACTTGCACTCGTACTCCCAATGTTCCTTTTACCTGAGTGCTGCTAAGGATCGCACATGGTCACACTTATCCCCAAGCACCCTGACACTGGCAAACTCCGACAAACTTCGGCAACATCTCGCAAGCTCCGACATCCTCCTGCGGCACGCACCGGCTCCCAACCCATTCTCCTAGCGCAGGCAACCTCACACGGTCTCCAACAAGTGCTGACCAACACTTACGACCCCAAGAAGAATCCGGACAGGGTCACAAGAGGGACATCGAACTAGCTTTCGGAGCCGCGCCCGCTGCGTCGTTTGTTGATGGCCCCGCAGCTCTGCCCACGAGGGGTCGGCGTTGCGGCGTAAGCCCGTGAATCGATGAAAACCGCGTCCTCGTCGAGTGCACTCAGGAGGTCCAACTGTCGCACCAATATCTGCAACTTCGCTCCGCCAGGATCTGGATGCCTTTTCGACAGCCAAGGGTGCGACAACACGAATCTGTGCTTGGGGTCACCCCTGCCCTCCGGAAATCCCGAGCGGCCGATGACGGCCTCTGCAGCGGGCAAATCCTGGCAGCGCACCATGATAGATCCAGATTCAGCAAGACGCCGAAGGTATCCCACTCGGACCCACTTGATCTGGGCGTCGTCAAGGTACACCAAAAACTCCTCGTAGCACCCCTGCAGCTCCTCCGCGCTGCAGCAGTTGATGCGCTCGAAAGCCTGCACTGCCAGGCGCCGTAACGACCGCGGCCCCGCGAGGCCGGAGAGGAAGGCCACTTGCAGGCAGTTAAAGCCGTTGTTGACGGCTTGGCCCCAGGCATGGGCGTGCCACGAAGCTTCGTCACCACCAGGGCCGAGGGCGTCGAGCAAGAGGAGCCCCTCCGCAAGCGTCAGCACATACGACGCCACGACCAGCACGGCTGTTCCGCCCACCCAGCGAGCCGGCTGCGCCGCCTTGGCGCCACCCCAGCGCGCCGCGTGCGCGGCGGCGGTCAGCAGGCCCCACGCCCCGCAGCAGGCCACCGCCGCCGCGCCGAGCGCAGCCACCAGCAAGCCGAGCCCTCCAGCCACAGCGAGCGCCGCGGGCAACAGCCCGCCGCCCGCGCCCGCCCTGCCGAGGGCGCCGAGGGCCCGCGCCGCCGCCCGGGCCACGACGAAGGTCGCGAGGCCCGCAGCACTGGCCACGAGGGCGGCGCGGGCTGCCCGCGCCAGGAGCCGCAGCCCCAGCGCGCGCAGCTTCAGCAGCAGCAGGTAGTAAGGGACGACCAGGGTCGCGGCGTAGGCTCCATTGTACAGCGCCCCGCACACGCCCTCCCACGTCGCGCCCGCCGCGCCGTGGCACCCCGGGTCCACCAGACGCTGGGCGAGAACGGCAGCCGTCTGCGCGGCGGCACACGCCGCGAAGCGGCGCGTCCACGCGTGCAGCGGCACGCTGGGGCGGGAACGCCCGCGCACGGCGACGCACCAAGCCGCCAGGGCCAAGGACGCGGGTGCGGACACCGCGTGCAGCGGCCAATCGGCGGCCCAGTGCTCGCGGCCAGTGCGGCCGCTGCCGTCGCTCCAGCACGGGCGCGCCGTGCTCAGGTAGGCCACCGCGGGCCCGCCGAGGGTTAGCAGCGCCAAGGCGAGCAGCGCCAGCCAGGCGGCGAGCCGTCGGCGCGCGCCCTCCTCTGGCTGCACGCCAGAGCGACCCTGGGCAAGCGTGACCGCCGGTGCGCGGCTTTCCGGGCCCACGGTGGGGCCGAACCCAGGCGCGCAAGCCGGCGCTGGGGGGCACTGGGGGCACCCCTCTGGGCCCGCACCGAAGGCCACTCCGGCCAAAGGTCGCTCCTAGGTGCAGCCGACTCCTGTACCCAGAGATCCGACGTCGTGATTTTTTCAATACGCGGTCCCCCGAAGTCTCGACCCATTCCCCAGGACCGGTTTCTCATCCTGAGTCGTTTTTTGACGGTCCCGGGGCCCGGCGAGGGCCCCTAGAGGCCGGCAATCGAGGAAAACCTCCGTCTTGATTTTTTCGATACGTTGGAGGTCTGGGTAGGTGTTAGCCGACTCCTGTACGTCACCGTCGCTGTCGGCGTCGCTCTCGTCCGCGGCGGGCGGCGCCGGGGGCGGCACGGCCGGCGCCGTGCCTCGGGTGCCCGCGGCCTCTCCGCGCGGCCCGCTCGCGGCCTCCTGGCGCGCCCGCCGGCCGACGAGCTGCGGCGGGGGCCTGGAGCCGCCGGCGTCCTGGGCGGCCGCCATCGCCGCGGCGACGGTGTGAGCCGCCGCGCACGGGGCGGCAGCCGGCGCCCCTTGAGCCAAGACGGTCAAAATGGGCCAAGGATGGCCAGGACGGGCCAAAGGCGGCCCGAGATGGCCCAGGGTCGGCTCAGCGGGCAACCAAGAGACGGCCCAATGGGGACCCCGAGAGAGCTCGCAAGAAGCCCCCGAGACACGAACCACTCATTGCCCTTGCGTTTTCGTGCGATTTCAGCATGCTCGTCCTTTCGGTCTTCAGAGCGCCCGAGGCGGCCCAACAGCCCCCAATACCTCCCTAAGAAGACCTCAGATGCGTCGTCCAAGAGGGCACCAGGAATGGCCCAGGACGGCCCAAGATTGGCCCGATACGGCCCAATGTGGCCCCAAGAGGGCCTCTGGACGAGCTCCAGCTAATGCCAAGACAGCCCAACGGGGCCCCCAGACCGCCCCCAAACAGCCCCAAGTACCCCCCCGACACGGCGCCCGGATCCGCCAGCGTGCCCCACTGCACGATGCCATGGTCTGTCTGGTAGGGCTTCTGTTTTCTAATAAAAAGGCCCCACCTCCACTCGCAGACTCGCGCATGCACTCCTCTCACTCCCGAGGCCACGCGTCCTCGTAAAAACAAATGGATTCACGCTCCCGAGGCCACAACCCTCGTTAAAAACCATGGATACACGTCCCGAACTTCCAACTCGGCCCATGCAGCAGGCACCACAACGGCTTGGGGAACACGCACTCCAATAGCTTGGCCAGACGTCGGCCCAACGTTTGGCCACATGGGCGTTTCAAAAAAGCAGGGGGCAACGGTGATGACTGGGAGGAGGAGGAGGAGGAGGAGGAGGAGGAGGAGGAGGAGGAGGAGGAGGAGGAGGAGGAGGAGGAGGAGCGAGGAGGAGGAGGAGGAGGAGGACGAGGAGGAGGAGGAGGAGGAGGAGGAGATTCGCCGCAAGCGTCTTCGACGCTTGCATATCCGCTGGCCCCCCTGCGGGGCCATCGGGCTCCGCGCACTAGGCCTGCTGCTTCCTGCTGCAGCTTCCGTCTCCGGCCTCCGACGCTGCACTTCTGCATTCTGCTTCCCACTGCGAAGTGTTCCCCACCATCCCTTGGTTGGGCTCCCGTTTTCAATAGTCGGCGGTGGACAAACCTCCCTTTAGTAAACCTCCCCTTAATGAAAACGGCCTGGGACCGAAACCGACGGACCTGGACCCGCAAACACGACGGCTGCGACGCCCTCTCGCGAACCGAAAACGGCCAATTCACTAATCGACGTGTCAGGGTAGGAGGTCTGTCCACCCCCGACATAAAGCAGTGGGGTGCAAAACCCCCTTCTCCACCTCCTGCTCCGGCCCTCTGCCCCCCTCTCGCCTGCCTGCGCCTGCCCGCCGGGGAGCCGCGCAGCGGGGCCCCGCGTGGACCCAAGCAGTGCGCCTCGCCATCCCCGGTTCCCTGGTGGCCTGCGGAATGTGAGGCCGTCGCCGCCTGCCACCCAAACGGAACCTCACCATCCCCGGGGGGCTGCGATGTGTGAGGCTGTCGCCGCGTTCGAAGGCTGCTGGGGGAGCCCGCGCACTGGGGGCCCACGCAAGTCCAAACGGACCTCGCCATTCCTGGGGGGCTGCGGTGAGTGAAACTGTCGCCACTCTGGGAACCCGCACAATGGGGCCCCAGGCAAACCCAAATGGGACCTCGCCATCCCTGGGGGGCTGCGAAGTGTGAAACTGTCGCCACTTTTGAAGGCTGGTGGGGGGGCAGCACAGTGGGGCCACACGCAGATCCGAACGGGCCCTCGCCATCCGGGGGGGGTGGCTGCGAAGTGTGAGAGTGTCGCAACTTTCGAAGGGTGGCGGCGCGCTTGCGCGCGTTTGTTGCTCGCACAGGGAGGGAGCGGAGAGGCTGGCGGGCGAGCTAGGCATTGACCGCTTCTTACACTAGTACTGGGAGCTCTTACTTTTCCAAGACGCCACAACAACGCTGAGCGCTGGCCATGCAGGTGTTGAGCGCTTCAGCATCGAACGACGCGCTACTTCATTGCCTTTGCCTGCCCATGCTCCGTCACCGCTGCTTCTGCCGAGGTGATTGTTCTTCCACTCCGATGTATTGCCAGTGCTTCTCCTTCCCAATTCAATGCCTCCTGGCCTTTTGTGCCTGTGTTCCGCGCGTCGGCCACGCACATTTCGCACGATGTAGGTATCCGCCGTGCACAGTCTCTTGTAGTTCTGCTGTCACACTATTGTCGGCGCGCCTTATATCATTCGCTGGTGCCGATGGGTTGGGTGCGTCGCAGTGTAATGTAATTGAAGACCGCGCGAAGGGAGGGAACCGGAACTGGCCATGTTTATCTTTACCTTGGGGGGGTCAGAATCTGGGGGGTCCTGGGACACGTAAACATATGTCACACACATATACGGATATATACATGTGTCCATATGGCCATATATATATATATACACCTTTAGGTATATGGATATGTCCGTCAATATGTCTGTCTGTATGTATGAATGTTTTATATACATATGTATGTATACATATATGTATGTATATATATACACATGTATGTGTTTGTGTGTCTCTGTCGCAGTCCCTGTCTCTCTATACATGTCATTGCTTCTCTCTCTCTCGGGCTGTCTATCATCTTGAATGCCCACACTTGGCCTTGGAAGATCCGGGAAAGGGGAACGCGAGAAAATGGGCAACCCGCCGTGCGCCCTGCGCCAAAACACGCCGCGCGGCTTCACGCCGACAGGCAGCGCGTCCAGCAATGCACGCGACGCGCCATTTGCCAGCTTCGCGCTGTTCTGCGTGCGCGACTTGGCACGCCAACATGTCGGCGGCAGTCCGCGCTCGCGCTGCTGGCGCACAGCGAACGCGGCAAGGTCATCCAGCAGGCCGTCTCGCGCCCGTCGGTGGGCCCTGGCGTCTCTACGAAGTTCGGCAAGACAATTTTGCCAGCTGTTGGAGGGTAGCGATCTTCCTTGCCACGCGTTCCCTCCTCGGCAGCTGCGCGTCCTCGAGGATGTGTATGACCAGCGGCCGGGTGCCGAATGTTGCCATCCATCATGCGGTCTGGGGCGGACGGGTGACCACAGAGGTCCACGTCGAGAACAACCTCCTCCAGGAACTGACTCCCGTCCTTGCGGAGCTGCCAGAAGGCCAATTCTGAAACAGTCTGCTCGAGCAGTGCAGCATGCGACTGGGTGCAGCGGCAGGCCGAGCTAGAATTTGAGCGCCACAACACACTAATCATCACGAACCTGCGATCACCAAGACGCGAGAAACTGTGTGAACCATCCGATGGAGCATGGCCATGCTGCGCAGCTCGAACCGCAAGAGATCTCGGTGTGAGTCGGCCATGCGAACTCGCAGAGAAGCGTGTGACGAATATCCCAACACATCCAGCAACACATGATGCACTTTGCGAGCTTGACCCTAAAGCAACGCCTTTGCAATTATGCCGTTGGCAAGCGCCGTCCCAATAACCACTACTCCGTCGTGCCGGATGTGAGCGGACTGCCCGGTGAGTGCGTCTGGGCATTTTGCAACGTCGACGCCAAACAATACATGTTGAAGGTGCAAGCGTAGAGTTTATAGCAGCTAAACAAATCGGACGGAACGACTCATATCATATCGGGTCGCCATCGGCCGGATAGGTAGGGTCTGGGAAGGGTATTTACTCATCTGGAGTGAGGATGAGCACGGGTGAGCCAAGTGTGTGAGAGTTTGAATCTGAGTGGATCTGAGCCAGAGTCTGAGTGAGTCTGAGTGCGAGCGAGTCTGAGTCTGAGGGAGTCTGGGTGTGAGCGAGTCTCAGAATGAGTGTGCATGAAAAGTGTGAATCAGCGTGCCACTGATTCTGAGTTTGAAAAAGTTTGAACGTGGGCGACTCAGAGTACGAGTCTCAGAGTGAGCGAGTCTGAAGATGAATGGTCTGAATTATAACTGAAGAGGAAGAAAGGAGGTAACAGGATGAGTGAGGTGAAGAGCTTCTAGACGTAGGATATGGGGAGCACGTGATTTTCTATAGCTTAGCATTTTCGAGGTCGCATCGGATGGCCCCTTCGTCTCACCTCCGCCGCAGCTTACCGGAGGCCAGAAACATATTTGCACTGTGTCGTGGCTCTGTCCTTGCTGACACATGCGCTTCACCTTCGCAACTGGCTCGTCAAGCAAGAGCATCGCATGTATACCTGCCCCAAGGGATGACAACTATTCGAAACATGTTCTGTTTTCCCGTGCGCTTTCGGTGCCAGGGTGGATGGCTGGTCAAACCCTCCCCGCGGCCATGGGCTCCTGCCTCCATTGGGTAGATACACCAGACATTGTATCCGTGGTCCGCCCCCCGCCAAACTGATGCTTCGGCATTTCCTGCATGCTGTGGCCTGCAACACTGTAGCATGATTTCCGTCCCAGGCGCCAGAAAAGCTGCAGCCATGTGTTATGCTGCGCTGGGTGATTCGCACTCGGATGCCAAATGAACTGCCCTTAGCCGTTGGCCGCAACAAGCCCGGAGTAGCCCCGACCAGTCGCCTGCGCTGGGCAACACGAGTTTCGCTGGCCAGGACATGCCCCGGCTAGCCCAGTGCTGCGGGTTGCCACGATTTGCGCTGGCCACGAAAGCCCCGACCACCACCTTCTTCATGTTGCCAAGATTTGCGCCAGCCGCGACGACCAAACCCCAACCATCTTCGACTTGCTCTTCGCTTTGGGCTTCCATAATTTGCACTAGACCTGACTACAGCCCCCTGCTGAGGGTTGCGCTGTTTGCGACTAACCCTGGCTAGCGCCTTGCACTGAGTCGCAAGGGTTTGCGTTGACCATGCCTAGCCTTGCCAAGGCGGCTTCCCGATAAAGCAACTTCTCGGGGTCCGCGCGCCCATGCCATATTTGTCTTGTCTTTGGGGGCCCGTCCGGCTGGCGACAACGCCCCTCGCGGCCAATTCCTCGCTCAGCCCTCACCGCAGTGTGCTTCTTCCCCCACAATCTGCCCACCATGATTCGGGGGATCGATAAACACAGAAACGCAACAAACAGGGTTGCATTCGTCTCTGCGCCCCTCCTTCTCCTCGTTTTCCCTCTTGTTGTGATCGTAGTGGACGTCGCCCTGATCTTCGTCGTCCTCCGAACTAGCTGGTCAGATCAATCCTCCTCCGCCTGGTCCTGCTCCTGCTCCTCCTCCTCCTCCTCCTTGTGTTCGTGATCATCATCAACCTCATCGCCCTCGCCCCTCCATGCTACAGCCGTGATCCGAATTCATGTGGAAATTTTCAGGCCCGCGCCGATACTGCCTAGTCGACACATCCCATCCACCCGTGAACGCCTCGGCGTCAACCATTTTTTATCCTCGCGCAGTCCTTCGCGCATGCTGGAGCCATGTTGAAGCACCCATTGCGAGAGCCTCAGGATCCCCTGTCCATCGCTTGGACGTCTATTCATGTGTTTTTTTCGGTTTCGTGCGTGGTTTTTTCGCCCAATGATCGAGGATGATCCTCGATGGTCCTCGCCGAGGGAAAAATGCACACGTCCGAGCGATGCCAAGCAGAATCCCTCGGGCGAGAGTGCCAGCGTCCTGATGGGCATGCGGCACGTGCTGGGGCGGCGCTGCAGCCCTCACAGTGGAGACTTCAAAGTGATTCCTGCAGGGCCATGGAGCCATATTGGAGCCCTTACCGGCCATCGCTCGGACGTCCATTCCCGGTGTTTTTGTTTCGGTTTCGTGCGTGTTTTTTTCGCCAAATGGTCGAGGATGCTCCTCGATGGCCCTCGCCGAGAAAAAATGCACACGTCAAGGCTTAAGTCAAGGCTTCAACGTCCCCAGGCGCGACCCCCGTGCAGTCCTGGCAGAATTTGACCCCGTGTGGAATTGTTGGCGCACTCTGGGCGAAGGCTTCGACATGCTCCCCCCATGGCCATCGGTAATTGCTCGCCCATGTTGGTAAAACCCTCAGGTCAGGGCTTCAACATCCCTCCATACCTGACTCCCACGGGATCCTGGAAGAGTTCCCGCCCATGTTGAAAGCATGATGAAAGCATGTTGAAGCCCTCGGGGCGGAGGCCCAAATATGACTCCTGCATCAATCTGGAAGGTGTATCATCGATGTTGCATTCCTGAAGCCAAGTCTCAAACATCCCCCGTTATGACTCCCGCGTAACCCTCGAAGGCGTCTTGCCCAGGTTGAAACCCTGCCTGCTTTGGTGATTATGGGTGCAGGCTTCAATGTGCACCCCTCTTGTTAGCTCACGAAAACCGCGGCGCACGCGTCTGCTTACTACAAACCAATGTTGTTATAGTTTGGCCCCTTTCCCGCGCCCGCCCCCTGCCATAAGGCGCCAACACAACGTCAAGTCTCATGTGGGCTCCGTGTAACCGATGGCGGAGGCGGCCCCCGTGTCGAGCAATTCCACATGAAAACGAAATATGGAATGGAAGATCGCTGGCCTGCCACTTGCCAATTCCAAGTTACAATCTTCGTGCCTACTGCGATGCTGCCTCATCGACACTTCAAATCCACTGGCGAGACCCTCGGCATTAACAAGATGGTCCTGGCATAATCCGTCGCCAGTTTTGAGGCATTGTCGAATCCATCATGGCGATGACCTCCAGACGCGGTTCCCGCGACGTCCTGGTGGGTATGCAGCGCGCGTTTGGACCGCGCTGAAAGGCATCGCAGTGGAGCCCTCAACGTGATTCCTGCGGAGTTCTGGAGGATCCCTCGCCCATGTTCACGGCATGGACGTCCCCCGGACGAGGCTCCCGCAGAATCCTGGCAGAGGCCTCTCTCCCGTGTCGAGGCCCGCATAGTGAGGACTTCGGCGCACTTCCTGGACATCCCTTGGAGAATGTCGCCGATGTTTTTGATGCTGATTTTGCCTACGCGTTCGTAAGGGATGCAAGGCCGCAGTCAGTCAGTCAGTGAAGTTATCAGGTCAGGGCTCCAACACCCTCAAGGCCTGACTCCCACATAACCCTGGTGGGGCTTGTGCCCATGCTGGAACTATATGGGAAGGTCGTAGGGCGAGGGCTTCAGCGTGACTCCTGCTAGTCGTCGAGGGCGAATCGCTTATGCTTCGTTGCAACGTCAGTCGCGGCAATGATCTGGTCGTGCTTGCTCTAGCTCTTGAATCCCCATCACGCGTGATGCTGAATCTTACCAGTTTCGTTCATTACCTCCCCTTGCGCTGTGCGCTCCTACCTCCGCTTGCATACTGTCTGCGCTACCGAATGATTTGGAGGAGAAGGAGGAGGAGGAGGAGGAGGAGGAGGAGGAGGAGGATGAGGAGGAGGAGGGGGAGGAGGAGGAGGAGGAGGAGGAGGAGGGGGAGGGGGAGGGGGAGGAGGACAAGTTAGGTGCGCTCGCGTCAACATCTGACATCCTACCCCTCCCTCCCATCCCTTACCATGGCGCTGATTTTCTCTATCCGCGGACGCGTGTCGTAGCGGACCTGTGGCTCCGCGCGCGTGTGCGTAGTGGGTGGTGGTGCGCGTGCGTGCGTGCGTGTGTGCGTGGTTGTGGTTGTTGTGGTGGTGGTGGTGTATGTGTGTGTGTGTGTGCGTGTGTGCGCGTGTGCTGTGGTGTGACGTGGTGTGGCGTCTTGGTGGTTTGGTGGTGGGCCAGGTGCGTACGTGCGTGATGGCGGTGGTGGTGGTGGTGGTGGTGTGCGTGTGTGTGTGTGTGTGTGTGTGTGTGTGTGTGTGTGTGTGTGTGTGTGTGTGTGTGCGTGTGTGTGTGTGTGTGTGTGTGTGCGTGTGTGCGTGCGTGCGTGCGTGTGTGTCTGTGTGTGCGCGCGTGTGATGTGGTGTGACGCGGTGTAGCGTGGTGGTGGTGGGTGGGGTAGTGCGGTGGTGGTGGCGGTGCGCGGTGGTGGTGCGCGTGCGTGCGTGCGTGCGTTGGTGGGTGGAAGTGGCGGTGGGTGTGCGTGCGGCGGGGCGGGGCGTGGTGCGGCGCGGTGGTGGCGGGCGGATGGGCGCGCGAGAAAGAGGCCCGCGCTGGGGCGAGAACGCCATCCTGAACGACGGAGGCAAAACACCGATCCGAAAATGAGGCCCACGCTGCAGCGGGAGCACGATTCGGAACGATTCGGGAGCAGAAATGAGGCCGGCGCCTCAGCGAGAGCAGCATTTTGAAAAACACGCAGGCGAAAAACAAACTCCCGGGAATCCTGTGTGTAGAAAACCAGTACGCGGGGGGGGGTCGAATATTCCCAGTACGCCATCAGGGGAAGAGGGAGAGTAGTATTCATATTGAGTAAGTGTGGAGGAGGAGGAGGAGGAGGAGGAGGAGGAGGAGGAGGAGGATAGGAGGAGGAGGAGGAGGAGGAGGAG